ACTCTTCTGGGAAGGCTGTCCACAAGGTTTAGGAGTGTGTCTATGGGAAGGTTTGACCATTCTTCCAGAAGTGCATTTGTGAGGTCAGGCACTGATGTCGGAGGAGAAGGCCTGGCTCACAGTCACCCCCTCTAATTCATCCCAAAGGTGTCCTATCGGGTTGAGGTCACGACTTTGTGCAAAGCCAGTCAAGTTCCTCCACCCCAAATTCACCCACCCATGTATTTATGGACCTTGCTTTGTGCACTGGTGCGCAGTCATGTTGGAACAGGATCCCCATCCCCAAATGTCTTGGTATGCTGACGCCTTAAGAGTTTCCTTCACTGGAACTAAGGGGCCAAGCCCAACTCCTGAAAAACAACCCCACACCATAATCCTGCCTCCACCAAACTTTACACTTAGCAAAATGCAGTCAGACAAGTACCATTCTACTGGCAACTGCCAAACCGAGACACGATTGCCAGACTGAGATGCGTGATTCGTCACTCCAGAGAACACATCTCCACTACTCTAGAGTTCAGTGGCGGCGTGCTTTACATCACTGCATCCGATGCTTTGCATTGCACTTGGTGATGTAAGGCTTGGATGCAGCTGCTCAGCCATGGAAACCCATTCCATGAAGCTCTCTATGCACTGTTGTTGTGCTAATCTGAAGGCCACATGAAGTTTGGAGGTTTTTAGCTTATGATTCTGCAGACAGTTGGTTACTTCTGCGCACGGTGCGCTTCAGCATTTGCTGACCCCGCTCTGTCATTTTACATCACTTACCACTCTGTGGCTAAGTTACTGTTCCCATTTTTTTTCAACTTTGTTATAGTGCCACTAACAGTTGACCATGGAATATTTAGAAGCAAGAAATTTCACGGATGGACTTATTGCACAGGTGGCACCCTATCACGATACCACGCTTGAATTCACTGAGCTTGTTAAGGCGCACCATTCTTTCACAAATGTTTATAGAAGCAGTCTGCATGCCTAGGTGCTTGATTTTATACACCTGTGGCCATGGAGGTGATTGAAACACCTGAATCCAATGATTTGGAGGGGTGTCCCAATACTTTTGGCAATATAGTGTATATCACGTAAATCTGCTATAGGGCGGACTTAAAGTGGCTAAAGGAAATATCACTATATGTATATATGTGTATAATATTTCACTATTTAAGCTCACCAGACCTTAACCCCCTTGACTTCTTTTTTTGAGGTATGCTAAAGGAGAAGGAATCAACTGAAGGAACGCATCCTGAATGAATGTGCTCAAATTGACAGAAATTTTGAATTACTGCATTTGGTTTATGTGAATCTTGAAAAGTGCATGGAACTTTCCATCACAAATGGTGGAAATCACCTTGAATAGGTTATTGGTTAACCACTTGCCCTGCTACAGAAGTACTGCTAAAGGGTGGCACTGCTGCACAAAATTATGCATATATATACGTTATTTCCATTTCCGGGTAGGGGGCACAAGCGCCCTATTCACACCACTATTGGCTGATGGGGATGTCAGATGGGACTCGGTGATCGGCGGCAGGGCTGAGAAGGGAGAGATCTCTGTGTAAACAACACAGATCTCTCTCCTGTCAGCATGGACATGCTGCTTTGTATCTCTTTGCACAGCAGAGAGATACAAAGCAGCATGTCTCCCAAGTAAAACACACACAGCACACTGTTAACTCTTTGATCGCCCCATATGTTAACCCCTTCCTGCCCAGTGCCATTTTTTATTAGCACTGATCACTATATTAGTGTCAGTGGGGATGTCAGTGGCAGTTAGTCAGTTCCCACCCAGTATCAGAATTTCTGCCACAGTCCTGCTATAAGTCGCTGATCGCCGCCAATACTAGTATAGAAAAAATAAAAATACAAATTCCAGTATATATACCGCCACTTGTAGACGCTATAACTTTCACGTAAACCAATTAATATACACTTTTTTTAGCAGAGACATGTAGCAGAATACATTTTGGCCTACATTTATGACCAAATTTGATTTTTTAAATATTTTTATTGGATAGGTTTTAAAAAGTCAAAAATGTTTTTTTATTTTCTAAATTGTCTGTATTTTTTTGTTTATTGCACAAAATGCAGAGGTGGTCAAATACCACCAAAAGAAAGTTTTATTTGTGGGGGGAAAAAAAAGGAAATAAATTTCATTTATTTACAGCGTTGCATGATCGCACAGTTGTCAGTTAAACACTTGCCTACCGGGCACTTATACCCCCTTCCTTGCCAGGCCAATTTTTTAGCTTTCAGCGCTGTCGCACTTTGCATGACAATTGCGCGGTCAGGCAAGATTGTACCCATATGACATTTTTAGCATTTTTTTCTCATAAATAGAGCTTTATTTTGGTGGTATTTAATCCCCGCCGAGTGTTTTACTTGTTGCACTATAAACAAAAAAAGTGCAAAAAATTTGAAAAAAAAAAAAGTTTATTTCTATTATAAAATTTTGCAAACAGGTAATTTTTCTCCTTCACTAATGTGCGTTGATGAGGCTGCACTGATAGGCAGCACTGATGGGCACTGATAGGCGGCACTAATGGGCACTGATAGGCAGCATTGAAGGGCACTGATAGTTGGCACTGATAGGCAGCACTAATGAGGTGACACAAATAGGCAGCACTGATAGGCGGCACTGATAGGTGGCACTGATAATGGGTACTGATAGTCAGCACTGATAGGCGGCACTGACTGGTGCCACTGCTGGGCATTGACTAGTGCCACTGCTGGGCATTGACTGGCACAACTGCTGGGCATTGACTGGCACAACTGCTGGGCACTGACTGGTGGCACTGACTGGCGGCACTGCTGGGCTGCACTGTTGGGCACTGGTGGGTGGCACTGCTGGGCACTGATGGGTGGCACTGATGGGCACTGGTGGGTGGCACTGATGGGCACAGGTGGGTGGCACTGATGGGCACAGGAGGGCAGAACTGGTGGGTGGCACTGCTGGGCACCGATCATCAGGGCACTGATCATCAGTGCCCTGATGATCGGTGCCGATCCCTGCTCTGACAGCGTGAGGAAAGTGCAGCCGAGAACCGGCAATTGCATTTCCCTGTGATCAGCGTGTCATTGGACACGGCTGATTACATGGTAAAAGGCCGCTGTGATTGGCCTTTTACCTCATCACGTGATCAGCTGTGTCTGTAGGACACAGAGATCACGGAGATCCCCGGGTGCGCGCGCACCCCGGGGTGCGCGCAGGAGAGCGCGTTCTGGGAGGACATCATATGACGCCCTCCCAGAACTGGCCAGCCACAGTGTAGCCGTCATTTGGCTATCTGCGGTCGGCAACTGGTTAAAGTAACACAGCGCCGTATCGTAAAAAATGGCCTGGTCAGGAAAGGGGTGTAAATCCTTTGGAGGGCAAGTGGTTAATATTCCAATGAAATAAATTGTTGTTGAAAAATGTATTGAAATTTATTGAAAATATGCATTTTACCTTTGTGTCCAGACTTTAGGGACACTTTAGGGACACCCTGTAGAATGTAGAAGGCCCTGCTCTCTGCACAAGCTTTGTGCAGCACATATATGATGTCACTGATACTTTCACAAGGTAATAGCTGTGGTTTTAAAAACATTGTGTGCTCATAAAGTAGATATATAAACTTTGTGGCAAATTAAGTATATATTTAAATGAAAGTTTTTGTGCCCAGAGTTCAGCTTTAATCCAACTCTGCTCCAGGGTTTACAAATCTTTAGAATGTGGTGTGGTGTACTTTGCCCACACAGAAGCCATGGCAACTCCTGCCCTCTGCTGCCCATGCAGAGGAGCCTTGGGGTTAATTTACTAAAACTGGAGAATGCAAAATCGGGTGCAGTTCTGCGTAGAAACCAATCAGCTTCCAGTTTTTATTTTTGTCAAAGCTTAAAGTGTTACTTTAACCCAGGACCCTGCGTTCACTCTACCTGATCTCTCACAGTACACAGAACATGGAAATGCAATTATTTTAGCAAATATAAACTACAAAATACCTTTTCCCATTATCAGTTAGAGCAGTCTTATGATGTCTATCAGTGTCCAGCAGAGCACATGTTAAAGCTTGTAGGAGTTTTCATGCTCTAGGAGGATGCAGAACCCCTGACCTCTGTCTGGACAGTGCTGATTGGTCCTGTGCTGATCATATGCACTCTCCCAAGAAAAAAAAAAAACCCTCTAGCAATACACACCAAAGTGAGCATGTGCAGAATGTCTGCACACAATATGCCTTATCAGGAGATGAGTGGGGACACTGGAAGAAGGGGCGGATCAGAGAAGACAGGATCAAACAGCCTTTTTACACAATGCAGAGGATTAACCCCTTAGGTTCCACAGTGAGTATAACAAGCATGCTTTACTGCATATACAGACTGATTGTACTGTTGTGGGTTTAGTAACGCTTTAATTGAACAAGCTGATTGGCTACTATGCACAGCTACACCAGATTTTGGACTCTCAAGTTTTAGCAATTCAACCCTTTTGTATTGTATTTTGTATTGTATTTTCGGAATGTGTTCATATAAAAACATTACTGCTGTGATTGGGCAGGAGAAGGGGAGGGGTGGACACGGCTGCTGCACCGACTCTTCTGTTCAAGATGCATAGCTCAGAAGGGTCGCTCTCCTGTAACTACAAGTTAGCTGTCTTCCGGGGAATACTATAAAATCGTCAGACATAAATAGTAGAGACACTGTAAGCCCAGGAGGTGTCATGCACCTCCCTGGACTTAACTCATAGTGTGCCTTCATTTTTTTACAAAGTTGCTGAAGTCTTAAAATTCAGCTTTAAAGTCCACCACCCAAGCCACTTATGCTCATCTGAATCCCAGTGCTTGTATAAGTGTTGCTAAAACAATTGTGCAGTACCTGCACTAAGTTTCTTCAGTAAGCCTTCATTGTTACACTACCTGGCAATAAAACAATATCTATACTATAGAGTATATGAATTATATTCCATCTCTAAAATAAAGAATGTTGAAATGTGTTCTGGAAAAATAAAGAGTAAGAAAACTTCTTACCTCCTTTTTTGTTTGGTCTATAAAATCAAAGCACTCTGGGAAATATGAAGTGATGTCAGTCTCAGGTAGGTCAAGGATGGAAAGCTTCCTATAAGTAAAGTCATTTGGAAATACATTTTCCACACCGTAGGCTACATTCAAAATATGGGTGACCTACATGAAAAATATTATTGTTAGAAATATAAAAAAAAGGAACACCGTTAAACTGAGGAAACTGACTATGCATTCATGCAGGGGCAGACTGACCATTTGGAAACTCGGGCACTGCTCGAGGGCCTGGGGTCAATGGTGGGCCCCATGAGATGCCCCCTGGTACCTTTTTCATAGGCTTTTTTGAGTTTGGGCAAGGACACAGGGTCCCCATGATCCCTATTGCCCCGGGGCCCCATGAGTTGTCAGTCTGCCCCTGCATTCATGTTTCTCTGGGGTGCAAGTATGCAGCACTAAAACTGTTTCTGCCAAACTGAATTTTCAATTTAAATTTGTAAAATACATTCTAGGTGTATCAAAGTCTAACAGTTCGTTTCCTTTAGAAAGCAGCAACAACCTTTCCCCTGCCTGTAGAGGAAGACCCTCACTATGCAGTTGTAATCAGTGCTCTCTATACAAAGATCCAACACACCTCCTTCTGAGTCTCTCCAATCAGCAGGGAGCATAAGATTTGAAGATTTGCTGATTACAGAGCCATAGGTTGGACTTAGCTGGGGGGCATGTCAGACCTCCACAGAGAGACCACTGCTTCTATACAGAGAGCACCAACCCTTTTCTGCAGCTGCTGGCAGAGAGCAGACTTTTCTTTTCAAGGTGTTGTGGCTAAGGAAAATTAACTGTAGGACTTTGAAATCCTCTTGCATTGATGCCCTGGAATATATTTAGCTGATTTAAACAAAGTTCAGTTGAGCTTTAAAGCTGCTGACAATTATTATCTTTAGTTGAGGCTTGGTATGAAAGTCACATTGCATATTGTTTGACTTACAGGTAAAGACTGGTATTTTCCCTGGTATAAGAACTTGTGGAATTCAGAAAGTAAACAGGCTGAATGGAGACATGTTTGTGTCTTCCTGGAGTACACCTAAAAGGAAACTTAGACCTCCTTCTCAAAGTGCTGCTTGTCAGCTGTATCTGATGCTTCCTGATTCACTGATCTAGAACAAGTATGTAGCTAGTGAAGTCAAAACTCCTGATCTGAATATATTTGTTCTGGGACGGTGATTTAAAAGGTTTTAAAGCCTGAAGTTCAGGATGGCAGCAAGGCGACATATATTATACTATTCTAAATCAATACAAAAGTCCTTAATCACCACATTATATATATATATATATATATATATATATATATACATACATATACACATATATACACATATATACACATACACACACTATATTGCCAAAAGTATTGAGCACATTCATTCATGATGCGTTCCTTCAGTTGATTCCTTCTTTAGCGTACCTCAAAAAAAGAAATCAAGGGTGTTAAGGTCTGGTGAGCTTAAATAGCGAAATATTATACAAATATATACATATAGTGATATTTCCCATGTGTCCAGACTTTAGCCATTTTAAGTCCGCTCTATAGCAGATTTATGTGATATACACTATATTGCCAAAGGTATTGGGACACCCCTCCAAATAATTGGATTCAGGTGTTTCATTCACCTCCATGGCCACAGGTGTATAAAATCAAACACCTAGGCATGCAGACGGCTTTTACAAACATTTGTGAAAGAATGGTGCGCCTTAAGGAGCTCAGTGAATTCAAGTGTGGTACCGTGATAGGGTGCAACCTGTGCAATAAGTCCATCCGTGAAATTTCTTGCTTCTAAATATTCCACAATCAACTGTTAGTGGTGTTATAACAAAATGGAAGCAACTGGGAACAACAGCAGTTCAGCCATGAAGTGGTTGGCCACGTAAAATGACAGAGCGGGGTCAGTGCATGCTGAAGCGCACAGTGCGCAGAAGTCACCAACTGTCCTCCAAACTTCATGTCTTCAGATTAGCACAACAACAGTGCATAGAGAGCTTCATGGAATGAGTTTCCATGGCCAACCAGATGCATCCAAGTCTTACACCACCAAGTGCAATGCAAAGAGTCGGATGCAGTGGTGTAAAGCACATTGCCACTGGACTCTAGACCATGGATGAGTGAGTTTGGGGTGAAGGAACGTGACTGGCCTGCATAGAGTCCTGACCTCAACCCGATAGAACACCTTTGGGATGAATTAGAGCGGAGACTGTGAGCAAGGCCTTCTCATCCAACACCAGTGCCTGACCTTAAAAAATACACTTCTGGAAGAATGGTCAAACTTTCCCATAGACACACTCCTAAACCTTGTGGACAGCCTTCCCAAAAAAGCTGAAGCTGTTATAGCTGCAGAGGTTTGGCCAACTCAATATTGAACCCTACGGACAAAGACTGGGATGCCATTAAAGTTCATGTAAAGGCAGGTGTCCCAATATGTTTGGCAATATAGTGTAGATACAGCGTATATATATATATATATATATATATAAAGTAAAACGGTAAAGAGAATGCTACCACCTACTGCTCCTTCTGGCTGTCATGCTAATCCAATGGGAAGCGGGAAGCCACACCCTGATGATATCAGATTCAATCCAACTTTGCTAAAGTGGGACAAAGCACACTGCAGCCCTACCTAATACTGCCCCGCTTTAATGTTTCATGCAATACAGGCTTGATCTCTGTGATGAAGGACTTTAACTTTCCCTAGACCTGAAATCCAGCTTTACCTTCAGTCTTCCCAAGTTGTAATCACATTGTGCATTAGAAGCTGCAACAAGTCACATGGAGCCCACCTCATTTCCCGACTGGAAGCTAAAGAGGGTCATCTAGCCCCTCTCCACCCTTACTGTCTCTGATTCACCCCTTTCATTTATTGGATTTCAGTTCTTTCAATTATGGAGACTCAGCATCACATGTGAGTATTACCTAGGGTGGTCTCTAAAAGGAATTTTAATTTTTGCATAACTCATTTCAGGAGCTAGCCCACTGCTTGCATCAAAGCAGTTTTACAACCCTGATCCTCTGCTCCTTCAGGCTCCTCCATGGTGCTAGTCTGGTCCATGTAGCCTATTCTCCCCTGCACTCCAGTGGTTGGATGCCTCAGATATCATCAAGGCTGATGCAAAGACCGTAGCCCAGCATTGGATGTGAAAACTCCAGGGGACAATTTATTGTCGGAGTACTGAGTGTAGGATAGCGCTGTTTTCCAGGGAAGCGGAGGATAAGGTAAGAAAAAGTGCTTTTACCTTTCCTTAGACTGCTGCCCCATTGCAATAGGAATTTCACTTTTCCTGAAGCTGGGCTTTTAAGAGGGGTTGTATTTTTTTTTTTTATATCACCATTCTCACTTTATAAAGCAGAGCACAGTATAGATAATATGGGGACTCCCGGAGTTGCAGTTGTTGGGAACCTGACCTTGATAATAACTTGAATACACCTGTATCATAAAATTCAGTAAACTGATACAGACAATCCAGTTTAATATGGAATAGAATAGCATGCAAGTTGCAATATCACAGGGCCACCTTCAGGATACTTATCACTGCTCCGATTTCAGGAAGTACAATTGGATGGTTTGCTATGTGTTACTGCTATGCATTAAAGTGAAAAACCTTAAGACTTTAGAACCACTTTAACAGCTTGTAAATAATAAATGAAAACATCTATGTATTCATAGGGGAATTTTAGTTTTCATCACATTCAATTGTTCTATGTTTTAAGGCCGGTTCACACTGGAATGCACACATTCACACGTGTATGTTCCTGTTCGGTCCTCCCATTCTGTTTTTGACAGCCCATTCATGAACAGAGCGGCACAAAAAGTAGTGCAAGCACTACTGTTACAAATCACACTACAGAACCATGTGATTTGGAGGCCACGTACGCACTGTGTTTGCGAGATGTGTTTGGAGTACCATTAACAATGGCACCCGCGCGTGTTTTAACAAGGGCAGTGCATTCATGTGAGGTGTGGGAGATTCACACGGAACGCTCCTTTCCTGTACCGCATTCTGATGTGAACGGGCCCTTACAGTTTCTCTTTTTTTTCTAAACTATCTGAATTACATTTATTATAACACTAACAATGCTGATTTTTACCTTATAATTTTTTAGTACATCCAGGTCCTGTGCAATATCTTGTGAGCCTAAAATGAAATAAAATGCATAAAAAAGCCTTAGTTATAAAGGTTATTCTTAATTTGATGTCCATTTTCTATGTATGTTGATTTAAAGTAAACATTTTACAGCAGCTACTATTGCAGTCAGCCTCCTTATCTTCCAGGGGTTGGCCTACAGTATTGGCAGCAGAACCATCACTGACTCTCATATAAGGTAGCACACTGTCCCAAGCTACTGACATACGAGACCATCATCAATAATTCTGACCATCCAGTAAAGACTAGAAAATTCACATAGCAATTCCTACCTGTGCAGATGGCACATAGACTTTCTTGAATAGCTGATCATTATTCTATCAATTTTAAGACGCTATAATAACATCATACAAACTTTAAGGCATTAAACAGAACTAACCAAACTTGTGGCTGAGTCATCAGAACAATGGCCTTAGAGTGAATGGATGTTCTTCACACAGTAGTGATTGGGGTTAATTTTTCTAAAGGAAATAGGCTGTTCACTTTGTAAGAGAATTTTCCCTTAGCTTAATGATATGCTTGCACATGACTGGATGATGTTAGTTATTCACTAAGATTCAGTAAGCTAAGGAAATTTTCACTTGCAAAGTAACCAGCCTGTTTGCCTTTAATAAATCACCTCCATCAAAACGATGTGTCCAGGTATATGCTACAGATCATTTTGCATGTTGGACTACCTTTCTTTGACCAAGAGCATTCGATTTGAAATCAATAATGCCTCGGGCCACTATGTCATGGCTTTGGGTAATGGATCCATAACACCAGTCCAAGCCCTTTTCACAGAAGAAGCTCAAAACACAAGGCAAGTAGTATTTGTAACCATGAATAAAGCTACAGTGATGTCAGAGTCTTTATTGGGAATGTCGCAGTTTATGCAAAACATTCAAATACATACTTACGGAGCCTCATTATTTTCTTGGGTTTCATCCAGGAGTAATGGCAGCAATTACTGTCAAATGTCTTAGATTTGTGAAATGGCATTTTTATGATTTGTCCTGCCCTGGGTTTCCAAAATCAGCCAAATATGACACACAGGGGGAGATTCAACAAAGAATTTGTAACACTTTTCTGATGTTATAGACATATTAGAAAGTCCTGCGCCAATTCATGAAAGCCGTGTAACAGTTTGCTTGCTTTTTTCAGATGTGTGCTGCAAATTCAGGTAGTTCTTATGTGCCACACGTTTACACTCTGGTGCTATGGATGTTACATATTCGTTAAAGGGCAAGTTCACCTTTTGACAAAAAATAAAAGCGAACTAACTTGAAATATTCTAGCTACTCCTCTAGACCCCACTACAAAAAGGTGCCTTGTTCTGTTGGTGTAGACCGCAATGCACAGCACCAGAGTGAGTGTCCATTAGACATGGGCGTTTTATTTTGTTACGATTCGTTTTTCAGACAAAAATTTAATTTTTTGGTGATTTAGATGTATACAATGATCTTGGATGTATACAACAAATGTCAACAAATACTAACAATTTATAACAAAATTGATGAATACACTTTCATTCGGATGACATGATGTGATAGTAGTTCGGGCCCATGGGGAAATTAATTCAATTTTCTAATTTGTTCAATAATTTGGATTCTGGTAACTAATGGATCTGAATTTTGTTCCATTCATTTAATTTGGATGCACATGATGCCAGTCAATATTGTCCAATCAGCTCATGCCATTTCTCTCAAAACGAAATGAGAATTTCTGGCATGCATATGTCTAGTCTCCATCATAATGATTGCAATGGCAAAAGCTCATTGCAGCCATATAACGTGCTGAAAGATGAGAAGTGCATCTGAAACGTCTTCATCCAATAAGGTGTCCCAGAAGAAAGAAGTGCTTCTTCTGGTTTGCATGGTCACATGGTCATGTTGACCAATGAGCGCTTGGCTTTGCAAGCAATATGCTGGACACTGTGTATTACACTACACTGGCAACAGGGAGAATCATGGAAGCTATATACAGTGGGCTCTGGAGGGATGGCTAGGATATTTTGAGTTAGTTCACCTTTTGATGAAAAGGTAACTTTACCCTTTAAGAAATACCACCATATCATTGACCATCTTACTGACACACGAATCTGTTGCAAGTTACGCCATGAGTTGCACAACCAGAAGACAGGTTTCTAAGGCCAAATTCACATGGCCAGTTACATGGGGCATTGAATTCCAGCGGAAAGAATCAGAGGACTCTTGCATTTGGAATGAATAGGGCATGTGATTAGCAGACTTAGCCACTTAGCCTATTTAAATTAATGGCAGGCTGACAGCGACTACTGCTGTTCACATGAGTTGTTAGCTACGGTTATGGATGAATGTCCAAGCCTGGGTTCAGTCAGCTGTGTCCAGGCTCAGACATTTGTCCTTAAACCACAGCTAACGGCTCTGTGTGTGGCTATATGTGAAGAGCAGCAACCGCTGTCAGCCTGCCATAGAATGCATTAAAGCGGAGGTCCAGTCAAAATAAAAAAAAATAAAAGTCAGCAGCTACAAAAACTGTAGCTGCTGACTTTAAAAAAAACAGCCATTCACCTGTCCCTCAATCCAGTAATGTGTTCACACCGGCCGTCCTCTGTTCTTGGTGCCAGCATCTTCAGTGTGGGCACCTGGCTGTGACAGCTTGCGGCTTCACAGTTGGGTGCCCACTGCTCATGCGCAAGTAGTGCTACGCTTTGTGTATGGTCCCGTAGTCTTCTGTGACCTGTCACGTGTCCCAGAAGACTATGAGGGGGGGAGGGGAACTTCCACTTCCGAACACCTAGGCAATAGCAGCGGAAGTGGGAATGGGTACCTGTCAAATTTGGGTATCCCCCCCACTTCCCACAGGTGCCAATCCTTAATGGGGAGTGGGGGACGAAGCCTTAAAGTGGAATTTCCCATTTTAGGTGGACCTCTGCTTTATGGTAAAAAACCTAAGGTTTTAGAAACACTTTAACCTCAGGTATTTGGCCATCCAAGGTGCCAGGTGCAGGTGATGCAGACAGATGATGACTACCCATCTCATGCTGGGGACACTGAAAATTATGTTATGATGGATATAGAAATCACCCCCCTTTACATTAATCACATTGATAATGCCTTTGAAATATTTTGTATTCATCTCCTGACTTATGCCTGTCCACAACTTTATCCTGGAGATCTTTCGATAGTGATTCTGTTTTTTAATTTTTTTTATTTTTTCTGACATGTTGGAGTTATATCTTTCACTTGGATTTTATAAGTTTCACTGAGTAAATAAAGCTGGATAAAATAAAAAAAGTGTCTGTCTTCATTTCAGGCTGCAAAGCAACAAAATTTGATTATTTTAAAAAGGGGGTGAATTTTTTCTTTACCCACTGTATGTATGCACAAAAAATTAGAAATCAGACATGCCTGAACAATAAATAAATAAATAACTATTAAATGGGAAAGTTGGTAGTGAAGAGCCTTCATGTCCTCTTGTATTGAACTGGATTGTTGCTGTATTGTCTCCCGTTATATTGTAAAGCGCTGAGCAAACTGTTGGTGCTATATAAATCCTGTATAATAATAATGTTCAAGAGCATGTTTATGGGTAGCTAAAGACATTCTTCAAAGTGTCCCTTGAAATCATTTTTAAACTGTTGGCAACTTTAGAATTGTAAAGATATTGCAATCTGTTACTGGATTAGGTGAATTTGAATTTGAGAGTCCTCTCTAATGTGTAACATCATAGCCCATTGTGATCTACGCATGTTTGTAGAGGTGCTTTTATTTGTAGTGCTAGGCAGCTGCGTTGTCCTGGGTCAATGTGCATTTACTTTGTGCTTTGACATGTGCTATGACGCATGCTGTCTTTGCCTTTTTGAATTAAGAATTTGGAGTAGATAGAATTACCAACTGTTGACCAAGGCTGTTAATACCTTTTTGCCATTTTGATGCATTGCCCATGACTTCCATGGGCATCTTAATGCACCAAAACACAGAAAAAATGGGCATGTGGTAATTTTTAAAAACACATTGCACTGCAACCTTGAGATGGAAACAGACGTGTTTTTTTGTAGAAAAGTTGAACAAATGCATTTTAGTTTTTATTTAAAATGCAACACTGTAAATAGGCCCTCAAGAAAAAAAGGTCAGTCTGCTCACATGATATTTCAGTTTTTGGTAGCTGCTACAGAGGTAAACTACATGACAGAAGGTGAAGAGTTAAACCACTGACTATAAGGGGTAGATTTACTAAAACTGGAGAGTGCAAAATTTGGTGCAGCTCTGCATAGAACCAATCATCTTCCAGGTTTTATTGTCAAAGCTTAATTGAACAAGGTGACGTTAGAAGATGATTGGCTACCAGGCACAGCTGCACCAGATTCTGAGTGCTCTAGTTAAAGTTTACCCCCTCCTAGGCATCATAGGGTGCACTCATACTGGCAGTTTTAACTGTGCCCCCTTGTTCCGGCTTGTTGCATAGTGTGAGTGGTTCAAATGGTGCCCAGGAATGGTTAAGAGTACTGTGCCTGGGACCAAATGGAATAGGTGGTCCTGGGAATGGTTCACCTGGGGTTAAGTAGTTAGTTCAGTGTTAGCACAGACCATGCCTAAGCACAGGACTCTCCATAGATCACCAAGCACAGGAGCAGGGATCTCTGTGGAATGGTTGGCAGAGGTGATGATGTACGTGTGCCCAAGAACACTTGCTTATAGACAAATGTGAGTGCCTACCAGCGGGGTAGTTGGAACTATTGTACTCAGGCACAGTTCATTTCAACTATACTCAGTGTAAGCCAGTGTTTCTCAACTCCAGTCCTCATGGACCCCCAACAGATCATGTTTTCAGGATTTCCCTCAGATGAAACAGCTGTGGTAATTACTAAGGCAGTGAAACTGATCAAATCACCTGTGCAAAATAATGGAAATTCTGAAAACATGACCTGTTGGGGGTCCATGAGGACTGAAGTTGAGAAACACTGGTGTAAGCACACCCTTATATTTGATAGGGACTCCAATGGTGAGATCTCTGCACTTGAGTTCCTGCGTCTGCACACCTGTTGTGGCTAATCTTAGGGGGGATCACATTCTCTCAGACTTCTTATTTGCACATTGTCACAAGAGGCACTGGAACATGCAGAACTGGGCAGAAACAGAGCCAGGTATTGCGACAGGTAATTCTCACTGCAGAAACATCGGTGATAAATAGGAAGCCAGTAATGAATTCAGCCCATTGGGTTCCACTTTGATTAAATATCACTTTTTGGTGGATTGACCCTTTAAAAAATTACAATCGCTTACTTTTAAATTTCCGATAGATAAAATATAATCTAATCAAATGTACACAATCTCTCACTTACCCAACAATAACCAGGACTTGATGACGCCCACCTGCAAGTCCATGCTAAGATCCTGCACATATCCACAGGCTGGTCCTTCATGTTGATCTGGGTCATCCACAACATGCACCAGGGAATCTTTCCATGTTTCTATGATTCTTTTCCCTGATAATGTTGTAACTCGAGTGCATTGTTTCTTGAGTCTCTTTTTAGAGAATCCCTTGATCTCATCACCCCAGTGAGTGCATCACATGAGCATTCGCTCTACAATGTACAGCCAGAGACGTGTAGTGACAGCAGACAATGCACTCTGATACCAAGCTCACATCTGATCCCTTCCTAGACCTGGGTGTTCATTCAAGTCTTCCTGAATGACATAAGAGAAGCCTTATCATTGGGTATTCTCTTCAGAGCCTTCATTGGCTGCTTCTCAGAAGGCACAGAGCGAAATGTGGAACTGCAGATCTGGTTTCTGAGTGCATACCATCTGCATGACATGCTGTTCTACTGGATTCATGCAGCTTTTTAAAAGGTTATTTTTTTTTTTCAAATAAAAATATGCCTACAGAAATATGATGCTCTATAAATACTGTACATATCCCATCATGCACAACAAAATCACAACTCCCATGAAACCTGAACTACAGGAAAATATGAGGGATTATTATTGTGGAAATAATGGCATGGGGAGTTTATTATACAACAACAATATGAATACAATACAATATAATATTCACAGGGAAAAAAATGATCTCCTGCAAACATTCAGTGCTCAGGAAATACGTCATATGTGCTTACACATACAAAGCAGATGCAGCAAAGCATCACGGTTACCCATGTACAAGCACACAGTCATGCACTTCTATGACCGGTGGCTTCCCAGGTCCCGAAAACTGCCATATTTGTACGTGATCATTTGCACCTCTCACCTGCTGTGTGCATGTGCTTGGGTTCATTGGTTATTGGTAAAAAAAATGACCTCCTAGAATTGCCCCAAGGAGATTAAAAACATTTAAAACAAACAGTCACAAACAAAACCACTTATGGCTGTGTTTATTTTTTTATGTAAATAAAGATTTTTGTTGTTATATTTTTCTACATATACAATCATGGGCCACTTTATTAGGTACACCTTGCTAGTACCGGGTTGGACCCCTTTTTGCCTTCAGAACTCCCTTAATTCTTCATGGCATAGATTCAACAAGGTGCTGGAAGTATTTCTCAGATTTTGGTCCATATTGACATGATGGCATCACGCAGTTGCTGCAGATTTGTCAGCTGCACATGCATGATCTCCCGTTCCACCACTCCCAAAGGTGCTCTATTGGATAGAGATCTGGTGATTGTGGAGGCCGTTGGAGTACAGTGAACTCATTGTCATGTTCAAGAAAACAGTTTGAGAAGATTTGAGCTTTGTGACATGGTGCATTATCCTGCTGGAAGCAGCCATCAGAAGATGGGTACATTGTAGTCATAAAGGGATGGACATGGTCAGCAACAATACTCAGGAAGGCAGTGGCATTTAAACAATGTTCAATTGATACTAACAGGCCCAAAGCAGGGGCGGACTGACAACTCATGGGGCCCCCGGGCAATAGGGGATCATGAAAGCCTATGAAAAAGGTACCAGGGACATCTCATGGGGCCCCCTACTGACCCTGGGCCCTTGGGCAGTGCCCGAGTTTCCAAATGGTCAGTCCGCCCCTGGCCCAAGTGTTACAAGAAAATATCCCCGACACCATTACACCACCACCAGCCTGAACCATTGATACAAGGCTGGATAGATCCATGCTTTCATGTTGTTTACGCCAAATTCTGACCCTACCATCTGAATGTCGCAGCTGAAATCGAAACTCGTAAGACCAGGGAACATTTTTTCAATCTTCTTTTGTCCGATTTTGGTGAGCCTGTGCAAATTGTAGCCTCCATTTCCTGTTCTTAGCTGACAGGAGTGGCACCTGGTGTGATCTTCTGCTGCTCTAGCTCTTCAGTTTCAAGGTTCAATTTGTTGTGCATTCAGAGATGGTATTCTGCATACCTTGGTTAAAGGAGTGGCTTTTTGAGTTACTGTTGGCTTTCTATCATCTTGAATTCTCTGCACATTCTCCACTGACCTCTGACATCGACAAGGCATTTCCGTCCACACCTACCACTCACTGGATATTTTCTCTTTTTCTGACCATTCTCTGAAAATCCCAGTAGATCAGCAGTTTTTGAAATACTCAGACCAGCCTGTCAGGCACCAACAACCATGCCACGTTCAATGTCACTTAAATCCCCTTTCTTCCCCATTCTGATGCTCAGTTTAAACTTCAGCAAGCCAACTTCACCACACCTAGATTTCTAAATGTATTGTGTTGCTGCCATGTAATTGGCTCATTAGCTATTTGTGTTACCAAGCAAATGAACAGGTGAACCTAATAAAGAGGCCAGTAAGTGTATATTTTTTCTTTTTTCTTTAAAACCCAGATTCAGGAAATCTGAAAATTCTCCCTTGCAGTGGGGCTGCACCTACACTGCAAGGGTTAACTAACTGTATGATTCTAGAGAAGAGTAAAAGCACTTTTACTTACCCAATCCTCCTCTTCCCTGGGATATGGCACTCGCCTATTCTCCAACAGTGGACAGTCCTGTGCTCAGCCTATTTTCTGTGCTGATCAATGTTTGTCATTCATTTAAATAAATAAATAATGCATTTGGCCGCTAGAAGGTGCCGAGTATCATAGGTATTGCTTATGTTACTTAGCACCATCTGGTGTCCAAATGTGTTATCTTCTAATCTGAATCAATAAAAAGCATTGACCAGCACAGAAAATAAGCCTGATAACATTTGTTTTTTGCCCCATTCCACAGAACAAATGTACATGCACTTTCAGTGGGATATTTTCATGTGATACATTTTTTTTCTTTTTAAATACTCCCCTTAAAGCACATGTCAAAATAAAACTTATTTTTCTATTGATAATCATTTCAACTTTATTTAATAATGGTTACTTTTGTTTTCTAATTATGTCAGTTTAGCATGTGCAATGTGGAAACATTCACTTCCAGTTTATAAAAAAAATAGCTCAGCTAAAGTTTAATAAAGCAATGGGCCCTGATGTTATTCATCCCAGAGTTCTAAGAGAACTATATAGTTCTAAGGTATAGTTGTTGGACCATTAATGGATTATTATATTATTATACAGGATTTATATAGCGCCAACAGTTTTTGCAGCAATTTACAATGTGAAGGCAAACAGTACAGTTACAATACAATTCAATACAGGAGGAATCAGACGGCCCTGCTTATTAGAGCTTACAATCTAAAAGGAGTGGACAGTGTAGGAGATAGTCAGATAGATTGGGGTAGGGAATTCCATAGGACGTGAGAGCCTCAGGAGAAGTCCTGGAGATGAGCATGGGAGGAAGTGACAAGGGAACTAGAGAGCAGGGGCTCCTGACAACATCTTCTTATGATGAAATGCATAGGGTGGAGCTACGGCTTATGACGTCATCACACCACGCACCTTGACCATTTTGTTGGTTGGAAATGTTTATGATTCACATGCTAATTTCATAATATGTTTGGGATATTACTCCTATTAAATTCTGGATTATTTTAAATACTACACTATGAGGAGCCTTTGTTCTCTTTGTACACATCCCATTACCTTTGAGGTGTAACACTGGATCATTACCATCGAGATACCAGCTGTGGAGATGTCTTTTTGGTGGAGAAGATTTAGGATCCAATAAATCCATTGATTTTCCATACTTGCTGTTTTTGACCGCATGATCTGTGGTCACTTTCTCTGGTAAGAGGCTATGAGTGGTGATAGTGGAGGATTCCTTCTTTCTTCTTGTTGGTGGCACATCGCCTTTTTAAAGATATGGCTTTTGTTTAACATGTACAGGTGTACCTCGGTTTACGAATTTAATGAGGTCTCCGGGACGTTTTGTATTCTGAAAAATTTGTAAACTGAAATGCGGTTTCCCATAGGAATGCATTAAAAACCAATTAATCCGTTCCAGAGGTCAGAAAAAAAGTTGAAAAAAAAAGTCGCTGTAACTATAGGTCAGAGTCGGTTTTTACATGTAATTACCGGCTTTTTTTTTCTTCACTATAGCTCAGAGAATCAGTTGTCACTTTCCCCCCCAACTAAAAGAAAGAATGTTTCCTTTTAGTTTATTTCCCTGAGTTAAAAGAAAGAATGTTTCCTTTTAGTTTGTTTTGAAAGATAAAAGTATCCTTTATCTTCGGGGAAAGTGACAGCTAATTCTCTGACCTATAGTGAAGAAAAAATAGAAGCCGGCAATTGCATTTAAAAATCAGCACCGACCAACACTTTGTATTGCGAAAAAAAATTGTAAAAAATTCATAAACCGAGGCATTATTTTCAAAGGATTTTCATTCATAAACCGAAAATTACGTTAACCGAGGCGTTCGTAAACGAGGTACACCTGTAGTCACATTTCATGGACTTTTCCTTGAGGATTTTAATTTATCACTATATTACTATCTATGTAAAAGTGGGGTGAATAAGAGCTACATATTGGTTTTTGTAAACGCTTTGGAAAGTGATTGAGTGTGGAGCAAATGGAGAGTTCAGAGTCCAGGATTACACCTAAAACCCATGCATGGTTGATGGTTGTGCCATTGATCTTGACAAAGAGGTCAGGGGAAGGGCCATGCGGGGGAGGAAATATTATGAGCTCGGTTTTAAGTAGATTGAGTTTGTGGAAGTGGTGTGTGTCGTCCAGACTGATATGTCGATCAGTAAGTTAGTGATTTTAATTAATTTCTTCTAACAGAAGTTCTCCATGACTGGCAGACAGCTAATATTGTACCTGTCCACAAGAAAGGCAGCAAGGTAGAAGGTGGCAATTACAGGCTAGAGTGTTTAGCATCGGTTGTAGTCAAGTTAATTGAATCACTCCTGAAAAGAAGAATCATTGATCACTCAAAAATACACAGCTTACTGGACCAAAAGTAGCATGGTTTTACTGAGGGCAGATCATGTCTGACTAATCTGATTACATTTTTTAGCCATATTACCAACGTTTTGAACCAGGGTGGTGCTGTGGACATACAGTAGCATATCTTGATTTCAGCAAGGCATTTGATACATTTCCACATAATGAACTAATACAAAAGTTGTACAAGCTAGGACTCAACCCTTAAGTGGTTCAGCGGATATGCAGTTGGCTAAATAATGGATACCAGAGTGCAGGGACGGACTGACCATTTGGGAACTCAGGCACTGCCCGAGGGCCTGGGGTCAGTAGGGGGCCCCATGAGATGCCCCTGGTACCTTTCATAGGCTTTTTTGAGTGTGGTTTGAGTATGGGCGAAGACACAGGGGCCCCATGATCCCCTATTGCCCGGGGGCCCCAGGAGTTGTCAGTCTGCCCCTGCCAGAGTGTGTTTGTAAATGGGGTTCACTCACTAGTGGTGTACCCCAGGGCTCTGTACTAGGTCCTATTTTATTTCATCTATATGTAAGTGATATAACTAAAGGTTTGGTGGGTAAGGTATGTATTTTTGCTGATACAAAAGGTGTTCAATAGGGTTGATATCCCTGGAGGTGTTTGTAACTTGGAACATGATTTAGCATTGCTGGAAGATTGGTCACAGAAGTGGAACTTGCATTTCAATGTTTCTAACTGTAAAATAATGCACCTAGGGAACAATAATCCCTTGAAAGAGTATAACATTGGGGGTACAGTGTTGGCCAGCACTACAGAGGAAAATGATTTAGGGGTACTTATTTCAGATGATTGCAAAACTAGAAAACAGTGTGACCAGTCAGTGGGAAAAGCAAATAGAATTCTAGGATGCATCAATAGAGGACCACCAGCAGGAGGAAGAAGGTCCTTATTCCCCTATATAGATCTTTAGTGAGACCTCATTTAGAATCCAGAGACAGGTAACAAAATGGTGAAAGATCTGGGGGATACAACACATTAGGAGAGACTTCAGGAACTTATACCCTTTACTGAAAGGGTAGTTGATGCTTAGAATAAACATCCAGCAGAGGTAGTTGTGAGAAACGCAGTTGTCAGACCCCTGCCTTTCTCACCAACGTGTGACAAAGGACTGGCCAATCTCACACCCCGCTGTCACGAAACAATGCCACTCTCTGCTGTACCCTGCACAAAGTTTTTCCAGCTCACTGGATAACAATTTAGGTGCAAGCAGCCTGAGAGCGATTGTCACTGGGGTAAGTTAACTAAGCAATTAACTCTTTAAGCTACCACCACCACCTTTTTACTAAGGAGGAAACTCACAATCTTAGGAATAACAACTGTGCTTTTAGAATAAATGTCTGTAACACACATTGGCACCACAGACAGGTATATTCAGGAGAGTATACTACAGTAGCACTCTTCAAGAGACAGGGATTCTTTTAGTTTGCATTAGTGCATTTAGAAACAATTTCAACACTTTTCAAAAAAGGGTTTAATTATGAAAAGGTCAAAATGGTGCAAATAAAATATTTACAAAAACAAAGATATTACAAAGTAACAAAGAACAAGCCACAGCAAGACAAAGAGGTGAAAAAAGGTAAATGCTTCTCCTGTGGTATCAAAGGGGTGTTGAAAGAGACCATCTGGCCAATTAGGCGGCTGAGGAGGGGCCATAGGGTGGCCCGTGTTTATGACTGTATCATGACCCTCCCTTACACACAGTTTATTGCTAATATTAACCCCTTCACACCAACTGTACGCAAATATGCAGCCCCACTGGACTGGGCTTTTTTCCATGGGGCCGCTAATTTGCGTACCTACGTTCTAACGATCGGGCCCCTGGAACTCCCAATTCCCATTTACCTGATCACTGTGATAGCCTCTGATTGGCTAGTACAGTGATCAGGCACTGTGAAGCCCGCCCCCCTTGTTTTCTCTCTCTGAATGGAGGAGGGAGATACATCAGTGGCGTCCTGAGGCAGGTGCGGGGGGTGCGGCCCGCACCAGGTGACACCTACCACACAGGGTGATAGCGGACCAGCTCCATGAAAAGGTAAGTTGTAAAGCAAGCCAACGATCCATTATGCTCAATCCGCAGATCCGAACCATCCTGCGGGGATCGTTGGCATGCAACTTACACGGGGTGACACTGCACCCCCGCTCCACAAAAAGGTAAGTTGTAAAGAAAGCCCAAGATCCCTGCAGCATGGATCGGATCTGTGGATTGGGGAGCTTAATGGATTGGAGTCTGATCCATTATGCTCAATCAGCAGATCCGATCCATTTTGCGGGGATCGTCGCAGGGGGTGTCACCAAGTGTTATCGCACCGGGTGACACCAATCCTAGGGATGCCCCTGAGATACATTGTATATCTCTCTGTCCTTTCAGAGAGAAAGGCACTATGCCTGTCTCTGTATGCCAGATTAGAGTTGACCTTAACCGCCTCCCACTCGCCATATAGTACAATGACGGGCGCAAGGCGGTTCTCTCGTTTTGGGAGGACGTCATATGACGTCCCCCGATTCTAACCACACATGCGTGGCTCCAGGAGCACGTGGCGATCGGCGGTGCGCTGTGTCTCTCGGACACAGCGGATCACCGATCAACGGAAAAAAAAGAGCCAAAGATGTCGACTTGGTCATGTGATCAGCTGTGTCCACTCACAGCTGATCACATGTAAACAGGGAAATACCGGTTGTTGGCATTTCTCTCCTCACGAGCTGTCACCCTGACAGCTCGAGAGGAGAGCCGGTAATCGGCATTCCTCATTGGGGACATCTACACTGATCATCAGGCCACTGATGATTTGTGTAGCCCCAGCAGTGCCAGCTGTCAGTGCTCATCCATGCCACCTGCCAGTGCCCATCAGTGCCACATTTCAGTGCCTACCAGTGCAAATCAATGCCACATATCAGTGCCCATCTGAGCTGCCTTTCAGTGCCACCTGTTAGCGCCGTCTATCAGTGCCAGTCAGTGCCGCCTATCAGTGTGCATCAGTACCACTTGTCAGTGCCCGTCAGTGCTGCCTAACAGTGCCAGTCAATGCTGCCTATCAGTGCCAGTCAGTGCCGCCTATCAGTGCCACCTATCAGTGCCATATATGAGTGCTGCCTTTCAGTGCCCATCAGTGATGGCTTTTAAATGCCCATCAGTACCACCTATCAGTGCCTCCTCATCAGTGCCCATCAGTGCCACCTATCAGTGTCCATCAGTGCAGCCTATCAGTGCCCATCACTACAGCCTCATTAGCGCACATTAGTGAAGGAGAAAAATCACTTATTTACAAAGTTTTATAGCAAGAACTAAGAAAAAACTTTTTTTTTCAAGATTTTCAGTTGTTTTTGGTTTGTTTAAGAAAAAATAAAAAACCCAGAGGTGATTAAATACCACCAAAATAAAACTATCTGTCACAAAAAAATGATAAAAATTTCATAAGGGTGCAGTGTTGCATGATCGCGCAATTGTCATTCAAAATGTGACAGTGCTGAAAGCTGGAAATTGGCCTGGGCAGGAATGGGGTATAAGTGCCCTGTAGGCTAGCGGTTAAAGTATAACTAAAGGCAAAACTTTTTTTTAATTTTGGTGGAGAGGGATTAGAACACCTGTCTGTTTTTATTGCTGTCTGTGTCCCTTTTAGGTAGATTCACCCTCTCTATTTGTCCTGCTTACCATTATCATCAAAAGTGAAAAGAAAATCCCAAATTTTGGCCTGTCCCCAGAAAGTAAGAGGGGAAATCTTCCAATGGGGACACTAGTTCTGGAGATAAGGGGGTCCCCAAGGAATCCCCTTAATTTTGCAGGGATTTCACAGGAATTGAAGGTAAATCTCCCCAATGGGACACAGATGGTGAAAAATAATCTGACAGGAGTTATAACCCTCCCTTTACTCTATCAAAAAAAAAAAATATATTACCTTCAGTTCAACTTTCATTGCCTCCAATTTCATTACCTATGAACTGGAAGTAATTTTTTATTAATCTGATGCAGTTTTTATAAAGTGACACTATGAAGAACTTTCTGAATACATTTCTGTAAAGCTACCAAAACGGGTGGCAGGGATTTTTAATCTGGATGTGTTTTGAAAACTTGCATTGCATGTCTTTGAGCTAGCCAATCAAGCAAATAAAAGTCTTTATTTCTCTGCAAGAAGAGCCACTGAGCACTCACAGGAAGCATCTGCAGCATTCCAGCATCCTATGGTGAGGCCCCATGATGTCCAGTCCAGTGATGGGCCAGCTTTAGGTCAATGGCATATTTATGATGTTGGCATTATTTGGCAACAACAAAATCACCGGAATGCGGAAGAACACTTAGTGCTTTGCATGTGTTGCTCCCTTACTGAAGAAAATGGTGTGGCAAGAGAGTGCATTACGGTCCCTTGTAATTATTCTGGGTTTGTTCACATCATGGTATTAAGGAAACGTGATGCATGCATGATTTTTTGGTAAGGAAACTAAAGTTATTGCACTGCCACACAAAGCATGTCCATTGCATGTTTGATTCTCAATTGCACTCCCACACATTGGCAAATAACGCACACCAAAATACATAGTGCCGCAGCATCATGTGGCTAGGTACCATGCAATTTGAAAAAAAAAATGGTTAGGGACTTTTTTCCTACATTTCTGTGGATATGGCAGCTCTTTGAAATGAATGGACAGCCTACATGCAAAAAGCAGGTCGCAACAATGTGAACCTAGCTTCAGATCCTTCACATCACAATCCCGTTCTTACATCAGTGTCCTTAGTCCCCTCATCACAACCCCCCTTCACAAAACAGCCCCATTTCACATCAAGATCCCCCTTTACATCACAGTACCCCACTTCATATCACAGTCCCCCCTTCACAGTAGTGTCCTCAGCACCACTCCACATCACCCCCCCCCCCCACATTATTGTCCTCAGCACCCCTTCACCACCCCCACATTACTGTCCTCAGACCCCCTTCACATCAGCCCCCTCCCCATATTACTGTCCTCAGACCCAGTGGTGTATTTAGGTTCTGTGCTGCCCTAGGCAACACAAAAATCATCTGCCCTCACGGACACCAACCAACACCCCCCCCCCTTCCCTCTCCCACGGAGAGAGCCTGACATCATTGACCAACAACACCCCTGCCCCCCACTCGGAAGAGCCTTCCACTACTACCCCCCCCCCCCGGCGAAAGAGAGAATGACAATCATCTTCAATGCTCCAGACATCCCTGGGAAGGAGAGTTAAGCTTTACATACACCATAAAGCAGCCCACAGCCTCTTTTGGATCCCACCTGGTTCCCATGGCGTGCGTGTCCCTTCTTTCATCCCTTCTTCTGAGGTGAGGTGCTGCCCCCCTGAAAAAATGCCACCCTAGGCAAGTGCCTTGTTTGCCTTGTGGTAAATACGCCCCTGCTCAGACCCCTTCACATCAGCCCTCTCCCCACATTACTTTCCTCTGCCCCCTTCACATCGCCCCTCTCACAGTACTGTTCTCTTCCCCCCTTATATCACCCTCCTGCATTACTGTCCTTGGCCCCCATTCACATCACCCCCTCACATTACTGTCATCTGCCGTACTTCACATCCCCCCACATAACTGTCCTCTTCCCCTTCACATAACCCCCCCACATTACTGTCCTCTTCCCTCCTTCACATCACCCCTCCCCCACATAACTGTCCTCTGCCCTGCTTCACATCACCCCCCCATATTACCGTCCTTAGCCCCCCTTGTCCTCTGCCTCCCTTCACATCACCCCCCCCCCATATTTACTGTCCTCAGCCCCCCTAGTCCTCTGCCTCCCTTCACATCACCCCCCTTTACATTACTGTCCTCTTCCCTCCTTCACATCACCCATCCCCTCACTTTACTGTCCTCTGCCCCCCTTCACATCACCCCTCTCCCACATTACTGTCCTCTACCCCCCTTCACATCACCCCTCTCCCACATTACTGTCCTCTACCCCCCTTCACATCACCCCTTCCCCACATTACTGTCCTCAGCCCCCCTTCACATCACCCCCCCCCCCCCCCCACCCACCCACACACATTACTGTCCTTAGCCCTCTTTCACAACCCCCAAACATTATTGTCCTCTTCATATCACCCCCCATTACCGTGTAAGCAGGTACTTCCAAGAGGGTTCTAAAGTGTTAAAGGTTTTTCTTCTGCTGTGTTCTGCTCTGGTGTTTATGTGTTCACACCAAATGTTACAATGTAACGGATTGTAGCATCTATCCTTGGCTGACCTGCTAGGCTGGTGGATCAGAGGAGGAAGGGTAATGCTGCTGGCCAGGGTTTCCTGCTCTTTTTCAGAAGGTTGCTACCCCCTGCAGGTCCTACCATATAAATAGATGCTCATCTCAAAACATTATGGTTCGCAGAAAATGATTTTCCGTGTTAAGGTGACACTAAACAATGTATTCTCCAGAAATAATGCACAAGCAATGATTAAAGTGCCTAGAATGCATGGAAGTAAAAAACCTTCTATGTGCAGCTCCCCCCTTATACTTACCTGAGCCCCCTCTAGATCCAGCAATGTGCTCTCTCCTCATTGGTTCACACAGCAATGGGAGCCATTGGCTCCTGCTGCTGTCAATCAAGCCAGTGAGCCAATAAGGAGACAGCGCGACAGAGCCGAGTCATGGTCTGCGAATGGACAATGTAATTCACATACACATTAACATGTGTGCGGCTCGGGAGCAAGCCTGCTAGAGTGCCCCCATAGCAAGAAGCTTGCTATTGGGGGCACTTGGTAGAGGGAGGAACCAGGATCGCCGACAGGGGAGCCAAAAAGAAGAGGATTCTTACCCTGATGTATTCTATGCATGCAGGTAAAAAACCTTCAATGTGCACTCCCTCCTCTGCCCCCCTTATTACTTACCTGAGCCTTATCTTGTCTCTCCCTCCTCATTGGCTGAGACACAACAAAGGGAACCATTGGCAATCACAGCCAGTGTGAAGGCCGAGCCTTGCTCTGTGAGTCTTATAGGTGGCTCAAGAGCAAACACACACAGGGGCCCCCAGAGCAAGCAGCTTGCTCTGGGGGCACTCTGCAGAGGGGAAGAGCCAAGAGCGCTGGCAGGGGACCCGAAAACAGGAGGAACAGGGCTGCTCTGTGCAAAACCACTGCACACAGCAGGTACATATACCATGTTAAAAAAAAAAAATCCAAACTTTTAGTATCACTTTAAATCTAGGTTCACATATGTGTGGGCAGGAGTGCAAGCATAATATTAATGTGTACAAATCGAAATTTGGATGAAATTTTCATGATTGGGAGATTCAGATGTATCTGAATTTCTGAATCACAATAGTAATGAAATTTTAACTAATCCAAAATAAATTATAAAGAAACAAATTCGGATTTGAAAATGAACTTAAATTTGAAATGGCAACATATTGCAGTAAAAACAGTAAGATATAAAAGTGATATAAGATACCGATTCCTACCTCCTAGATTGTAAGCTCGAAAGAGCAGGGCCCTCAATCCCCTCATGTTTTGCATTGTATTGGTATTGTTCTGTCACATGTTCTGTCTCCCTTTGTAATGTTCAGCGCTGAGCGAACTATTGGCGCTTTATAAATACTGTATAATAATAATAATACTTAGACTGCCGAATAGAATAGAATATAAAGAATAGAACAGCACAGCATAGAATGGAATAGAATATAAAGGAATAAAATAGAATGCAAAAGAATAGAATAGGGCAGAAGTCTGAATTAACCAAAATCACCTTCAGGAGAGGAGTGTTTGGGCAGAAAAAACGCATGAAGCACCTAAACATTGAAACATGCTTAAATGCTAAGCGTGTGCAGCGCTACCGTCATGAGGGCCGCTGTGTAATGGGTATCCCTAAGCCTCTCTCCGCACAGCCAGGCAACAAGTATTTTTCACACAGACTTACATCCAGAGATAATGACCAGTCCATAGGCTTGGTTTTGTTGCTTTATTAAGGGAAATCAACTTGGATAGAGAAATAGGGATTATGAGATGGCCCAGTTTGGCTTTAATCATTGGAAGGGGGACAACTTCCTTCCTATGTACAAAGGCAGATCCTGGACTGTTCTTTTCCTGAAAGCCATCAGTCGTTGGGGACCAGTAGCAGCCAGGGGCAGACTGACCATTTGGAAACTCGGGCACTGCCCGAGGGTGTGGGGGTCAGTAGGGGGCCCCATGAGATGCCCCTGGTACCTTTTTCATAGGCTTTTTTGAGTTTGGGCAAGGATACAGGGGCCCCATGATCCCCTATTGCCCGGGGGCCCCATGAGTTGTCAGTCCGCCCCTGGTAGCAGCTGCCCTCAAAAATCACTTTACTTCTTGTAGCTACATGCAAAAATGTCTTCTCTCCCCCA